AAAAAAAAGCGGGATATCGGCTGCTCCCCAACGGATCTGCTTTGAGCTGGAGCACCTTTCTCTCCAAGAATAACAGGAATTGGAGAGTCCTTCAGGGAATCTGCTTCCCTGCAGCCCAAAGGAGGCATCACCCACCTCACCTCTGATCCCAAAGCAATCATCTCCAAGAGGCAGGAGAGCCTGGTCATTAAGGAAGGAACATGTAAATTAAGCTTCTCCCACCATGGAGCTTCAAATATCCCTGTTGTAGCCCAGGGAAAAGCCCCGGGAGCAGGGGGGTTTCTAAATGGATCTGGGATTTTCCATCTCCTCCATCAGGAGCTGGGCAGGAGCTCAGGCTTGGTCCAGGCACAGGATGGGAAATCCTGGCAAAAAAACATGGAGTGGTTTCATTTTTCCCCGTGGAAAAACGCTTGGTGTGTTTTATCACAGAATCATGGAATATCCTCAACTGGAAGGGACCCCCAAGGATCATTTAATCCAGCTCCTGGCCTTGCACAGGACACCCCAATAATCCCACCCCTTCATGGGATGTTATTCCAGCTCCCAGCTGCTCCAAGGGAGCAAAGGGAACACCGGGAGACACCGAGGGTTGAGACAACCCCGGGTTGGGGAGACACAAGTGTAGCTTCATTCCCATCACTGCTGCAGAAGGAATTAGTGTTGCAGAAGGAATTAGAAAGTTGCAGAAGGAATTACAGAGTTGCAGAAGGAATTACAGAGTTGCAGAAGGAATTAGAAAGTTGCAGAAGGATTTAAAGAGTTGCAGGTCACCAGGTTGGGAAAATCAAACCAGTGTTGGGAAGATGATGTTGGTTGAAACCTGAGCATCTGCTCCCACCCAGCTCCTCGTGGCTCCACAGAAACCATTCCAGCCCCATGGAAAATGAGCCAAACGTGCTCCAGGGAATTTGCTGCTGACCCTGGGGAGGTGTCACCTTCCAGAGGGGGAGACACTGCATTTAATGAGCCCTGGCTCCTGAGGAGATTTAATGTCAATTTTAACAAAACCTGTTCGTCCCAGGAAGCCCATCCAGGCTCTCCACCTCTTGGAAATCCCTTTTCCTTCCAAATCCTCCCCTGGCATTACCAACACTGCACATTTAAGGCTGAACAAACCCATTCCCCAAACATTTAGAAGGTTTTAGCTTTCCACTGTCACCCCTCAGCTGTTTTGATGTATTTAACACCTCCAAACGATGACAAACGTGACTAATTAGTCCTTTTTCTTTTTGTTCCTGCACAATCATATCTTTATCTGTCTTTTTTTTTTCCCCTCCAAGCTACAACATTTTTTTTTCCAGCAAAGCTTCCCAAGTTCTCAGATCATTTAGTTGTGAAGTCTGACATTACCCCTGGATTTATGAGGCTCAGCAGAACACAACTTCTCCCCTCCACACGCTGAATTTGCTACCAGAACGTTCTATTTAACATCACTGACAACACCCTTTGTTTCTCCAAACCAAAATCATGTAAAAATCAGTCTCCAAGCCCCAGGGGAAAAAAAAAAAAAAAGCATTTCTTTCAGTTTTCCCTCAAAAATTCACAGCACCACATACAAATAAGCAAGGAAAGCACAAAATAAAAAAGTCAAAAATACAGTTTGATGTGTTGCCTCCCTCTTTCATCCACAGGATGCTTCAGGTCAGCTGTTTTAAGTGCTGAAAAGTGATATTAGTGTAGAATAGGGCAGCACATCCCATAGGAATAGGAAGGGTACAGGCAAACAAGGTGGGATTTCAAGTTACACCTCCAATGGACCACATTCCTGGTCTAAGGAAAGGAAGGAAATCCCAGGATGGTTTGGGTTGGGAGGGACCTCAAAGATCATCAACTGACAGATTTCTGAGTCAGGGCAGATGAAAAATAAACAGGGAAACCCAGAAGACACAGAATCAGGGAATCCCAGGATGGTTGGGGTTGGGAGGGACCTTAAAGCTCATCCAGTTCCATGGGCAGGGACACCTCCCACTATCCCAGATTGTTCCAACCTGGCCTTGGACACTTCCAGGGATCCAGGGGCAGCCACAGCTTCTCTGGGCAACCTGTGCCAGGGCCTCCCCACCCTCCCAGGAAGGATTCCTTCCCAATATCCCACCTAAACCTCTCCTCTTTCAGTTTAAAACCATTCCCCTTTTCCCAACTCTATCTCTCCATGTAAAAAGTCACTCTCCCTCTTTTTTATAAGCCACCTTTAAGCACTGGAAAGGTGAGATATAAATAATAGGCTCTAAAGTTTAAGTATGAGGGGGAGAAGGGGGAGAGGAGGAAGAGGAAAAGGGGGAGAAGGGGAAGAGAAAAAAGGAGAGAAGGGGAAGAGGAAAAGGGAGAGAAAGGGAAGAGGAAAAGGGAGAGAAGGGGAAGAGGAAAAGGGAGAGAAGGGGAAGAGGAAAAGGGGGAGAAGGGGAAGAGGAAAAGGGGGAGAAGGGGAAGAGGAAAAGGGGGAGAGGGAAAGAGAAAAGGGGGAGAGGGAAAGAGAAAAGGGGGAGAGGGAAAGAGAAAAGGGGGAGAGGGGGAAGAGGAAAAGGGGGAGAGGAGGCAAGAGGAAAAGGGGAAAAGGGGGAAGAGGAAAAGGGAGAGAAGGGAAAGAGGAAAAGGGAGAGAAGGGGAAGAGGAAAAGGGAGAGAGGGGGAAGAGGAAAAGAGGGAGAAAGGGAAGAGGAAAAGGGGGACGGGGAAAGAGAGGGAGGGAGAAGGGGAAGAGGAAAAGGGGGAGAAGAGGAAGAGGAAAAGGGAGAGAAGGAGAAGAGGAAAAAGGGGGAGAGGAGGCAAGAAAGGGGGGGCAAAAAAAGGGGGGCAGAAAGGGGGGCAAGAGAGGGGGGGCAGGAAGGAAGGGCAGGAAGGGGTCCCCACCACCACATCCATCAGCTTCTCCTGCCTCCCAACCTCCCAGAGCCTCAAAACCACCTTCCCATCCCCTCCCCATCCCCTCCCCAAACTCACCCAGCTCCGTGGGCTTCAGCAGCTCGTCCAGGGTGGTGTAGAAAGGGAGCTTGACCAGGCGAACCTCGGGCTTGGCAACTTTGGGAGGCAACCTCCCGAGTCCGTTCAGGTATTTGCCGTAGAGGGCGGGGTAGTCGATGTTGGGGGTGGGCAGAGTCCGAGCCACGGCGCTGCCGCGGTCGTAGGACGAGTGTAAGGGCAGGGCCTCGGCCCGGGGCTGCGGCTGCTGCTGCTGCTGCTGCGGGGGCGGCGCCGGAGCCACTTCCGAGCTCTTCTTGCTGTAGCGAGTCTCGTAGAGCTCCTTGATTTTCTTGAACACCTCAGGGCTGCAGTCAAACTGGACCAGCTGCAAAGCTCGGGTCACTAGTTCGTGTTTAAGTCCGCTTTTACTCCTGCCAACAAAACCCAGCAACATCTGAAGATCTGAGACTCGGAAACTCATCACCATGTTCTGGGGGATAAAAAATTGGAGAGGGTCTTATAGTTATGAGAGGCAAAGGTTGTCGGCTTTTGTTTTATTTAATTAGAAGGCAAGTAGTAAAAAGTTCCACCCTAAGACAGATTCTTCCCCCAGAGTTGTGCAAACTCGGTGTTGGTGCTCGGTTTGCTTCCCGGTTCTTAAGGGTTTGAACGGCGCAGAGATCAGTGATTGAAATGTTGTAATTAGAAAAATTAGAGAAACACCAGAATAGGCATCAAATTGCACAGAAATACATCAGGATAGGCACCAAATTACACAGAAATCTCTGATAGATAAATACCAGGATAGGGATCAAATTACACAAAAATCACTTTGATAAAAACCACCAGGATAGGCACCAAATTACATAAAAATCACTGATAAAAACCCACCAGGATAGGCATCAAATTGCACAGAAATCCCTGATAGAAAAACACCAGGATAGGCACCAAATTACACAGAAATCTTTGATAGACAAACACCAGGATAGGCACCAAATTACACAGAAATCCCTGATAGAGAAACACCAGGATAGGCACCAATCTACACAAAAATCACTCTGATAAAAACCACCAAAATAGGGACCAAATTACACAAAAATCACTCTGATAAAAAACCACCAGGATAGGCATCAAATTACATAAAAATCACTTTGTTAAAAACCACCAGGATAGGCACCAAATTGTACAAATATCCCTGACAGAAAAACACCAGGACAGGCACCAAATTACACTAAAATCACTCTGATAAAAAACCACCAGGATAGGCATCAAATTACACAAAAATCCCTGGTAGACAAACACCAGGATAGGGATCAAATTACACAAAAATCACTCTGATAAAAACTACCAGAATAGGCACCAAATTACACAGAAATCACTTTGATAGGAAAACATCAGGATAGGCACCATATTACACAAAAATGATTTTGATAGGAAAACACCAGGGTAGGCACCAAATGACACAAAAATCCCTGACAGACAAACACCAGGATAGGGATCAAATGACACAAAAATCACTTAGAGAGATGCTCCAAGTGAGCATCCTGGAGACAGGTCAGCTGGAAGCAGAAGTGCCCACAAAGGCCTCGAGCAGCAGGTCCCATGTGTAGAAGAGCACATGGGAACTCCTTCAGCATCCAGGCTCGAGGCACCCAAACCTCCCAGGCACCCCTGGGAAGAGAATTCCAGGGAAAATTTCCTCCCCAATGCACCTCTGGGAAGAGAATTCCAGGGAAAATTTTCCTCCCCACCAGTGTTGGCGTAAGGCAAAGGAAGGGAATCAATGGGAACTGGGTGGCAGGTGAGGCTCAGGTGAACCAGGGCCACCAGTCCTGGATTTCAGGAATGGGCAAAAAAACCCCTCCAGAATCCCTCCTCCATGCCCAGGATCTTTGGGAACATCCCTTTTTAAAGGATGGAAGGATATTAAGATGATATTGACCTGGATGGGGTGGAGAGTTGGGCTGATTCCAAAGGGATGAGGTTCAACCAGGCCAAGTGCCGGGTCCTGACCTTTGCCCACAACAACCCCCGGCAGCTCCACGGGCTGGGACAGAGGGGCTGGAGAGCAGCCAGGCAGGAAGGGACCTGGGAGTGGGGATGGACAGGAAGCTGAACAGGAGCCAGAGTGTGCCCAGGTGGCCAAGAAGGCCAATGGATCCTGGCCTGGCTCAGGAACAGTGTGGCCAACAGGTCCAGGGAAGTGATTCTTGCCCTGGACTCAGCGCTGGTGAGGCCACCCCTGGAGTGCTGTGTCCAGTTCTGGGCCCTCAGCTCAGGAAGGACATTGAGGTCCTGGAGCAGGTCCAGAGGAGAGCAACGAGGCTGGGGAAGGGACTGGAGCACAAGTGCTGTGAGGAGAGGCTGAGGGAGCTGGGGCTGTTCAGCCTGGAGAAGAGGAGGCTCAGGGGAGACCTCCTCACTCTCTGCAACTCCCTGACAGGAGGGGGGAGCCAGGGGGGGGTTGGTCTCTTTTCCCAGGCAACTCTCAGCAAGACAAGAGGGCTCAGGGTCTTCAGCTGTGCCAGTGGAGGTTTAGGTTGGATATCAGGAAGAATTTCTTTGCAGAGAGGGTGATCAGCCATTGGAATGGGCTGCCCAGGGAAATGGTGGATTCTCCGTCCCTGGAGGTTTTTAAGGTGAGACTGGATGTGGCATCAGTGCCATGGGCTGGGAACCACGGCGGGGTTGGATCAAGGGTTGGATTGATGATCTCAGAGGTCCCTTCCAACCTGGCTGATTCTGTGATTCTATGATTCTGTGACTCTATGATTCTCTGATTCTCTGATTCTATGATTCTCTGATTCTATGATTCTCTGATTCTCTGATTAAAGAGAGCAGTGTGTTCCCAGAGAACAACATCTCCAAGCCCCACACGGGTGCTGTGCCAAGCACTCCGTGATCCCAGCCAGGAGCTGCCTTGGTGGCTCCCTGGAATTCTCAATTCCAGGGTCGGATAAGCAAGAAAATTCATCTCAACCTCCCAAAATTCCCTCTCTCCGTGGGAATTCAGCCCTGGAAGCATCAGCAGATTTAAAGGCCAGGCTGTGCCACACTTCCCATCAGGCTAAAAACCCAAATTATTCCTGTTAATTATTCCATGGTTACAGCCCGGCCAGGTTGGTGCTGTTGCAGTTCCCTAGAAACCAAACAGCCTTAAAATTGCACAAAAAAAAAAATAAAATAAAAAAAAGAGCTTATAAAGTACATGGATTTGAAAATTTAAGCTGCCCTGGAAATGCACTTGATAGATATCCACACATATCCTTCCTGGTTTGTGGGAAATGCGGGATTTCAAGAAGAAATCCCAGTAAAAAACAATCCAGCAGCAAAAATCCAGCAGGTCTCTCTTCCCCAACCTCCACCCCACTCTTAGATTCAACAATAATTAAAAAAAAAAAGCATAAAAGTCAGGTTTTTGTGGAATTTACAGTAGCCTTATAATTTCCTGGAATAAAACAGCTACGGATTATTATATTTTTTTTAATTAAGAAAGCTACAGCTGATTCCAGAGATGTTTAACAGCCACTTTTGGATGTGTGGGAATTAAGACTGGAGAGAAAATGCCATTTGATTTTCTCCTTTTTCATTAAAAATGTCATTTCATCTGCAAAGCCCAAAGCTGGAGTTAAAATTTCTGGGAGTCGTGATGTGTCCCAAAATATCTTGGATGAGGAGGGGAAAGAAAAGGTAACGAAAGAGGAGGGAAAAGGGGAAAATCAGGATTGCAGAGCTCTGGATTCGTGGGGCTGCTCCACCAGATCCCACCTGGGAAATCCCAGAGAAATCCAGGGATGATTTCCCAGGGAATTCGTCCCAAGGGATTCTTCCCAAGGAACGCTTCTAGGGGTGACTTCCTAGGGAATTCTTCCCAAGGAATGCTTCCAGGGGACACATTCCAGGGAATTCTTCCCAGGGAATCCTTCCCAAGGAACACTTCCAGGGGTGACTTCCCAGGGAATTCTTCCCAATGAATTCTTCCCAAGGAGTGCTTCCAGGGGACATGTCCCAGGGAATTCTTCCCAAAGAATGCTTCCAGAGGTGACTTCCCAGGGAATTCTTCCCAAGGAATTCTCCCCAAGGAACTCTTCCCAAGGAACACTTCCAGGGGACACTTCCCAGGGAATTCTTCCCAAGGAACACTTCCAGGGGTGACTTCCCAGAGAATTCTTCCCAGGGAACTCTTCCCAAGGGGACACGTCCCAGGGAATTCTCCCCAAGGAACACTTCCAGGGGTGACTTCCCAGGGAACTCTTCCCAAGGAATTCTCCCTAAGGAACACTTCCAGGGGACACTTCTCAGGGAATTCTTCCCAAGGAACGCTTCCAGGGGACACTTCCCAGGGAATTCTTCCCAGGTGACACTCCCCAGCCGCTCGTTCAGCACCGGCTGCCCCGGGATGGCACCGGCCGGTCCCGGGCGCTGCCCCCCCAAGCCCCGCACCCAGAACGGGACACGGGGAACCCCCGGCTCCCACAGCGGTGCCGGAGCACCGGCATCCCGAGGGAAAACAGGGATCCCGAGGGATAACGCGCTCCCTTCCCGCGGCATTCAAGAGGCGGCACAAACCGCCTCGGGAACACGACACAACCGCCGGCAGGAATCGGCTTCACCCCCTCACGGAGGGCCCTCAGGGCCGCCCCGCACCGGGCACCGGGCGCGGGGGCAGCACCTGCGCTGATTAATCCCGCGAATTAACAACCGGCGAGGTCAGCCCAGCCCTGCGGGGATTGCCGGCGGCGCCGCGGGTCGCCCCGGGCCGGTAAAAGCCCGTGAGGTCCGGCGGGGGCCGCGGCCCTGCGGCCGGGGCGGGGCAGCCCCCTGAGGGGGAGGGGGGGGGGGGGGTGAGAAAGCGGCGGGGGCGGTGCCGGGGGGGCGCCTCTCTCGGCGGTTCGCGGCGCTGCTCGGCCGCGGTCTCGCCCCCGCCTGGGTCCCGCCGTTGGCGCGTTGAGGACCCCGCGGGCGGGGCGGCGGCGCCGCTTCCCCCTCACCTTCGCCTCCACCAGCTCCGCCGCCATCTTGGGCCTCCAGCGTCCACCGCGCCGGGCGCCGCCGCCGCCGCCGGGTCACGTGACCCGCCCCGAGGGGGCGGGGCCGCGCCGGAGGGGAGCGGCCCAATCGGCGGGCGAGCGGCGCTCTCCGGCCACGCCCACCCGCCCCCCGCGCGCGCGGCCACACCCCTCGAGGCCACGCCCCGCGCGGGGAGTCTTAAAGGGGCCGCGCCGCGTAAATTGAGGGGGCGCCGAGGGGGGACACCAGGGGAGGGGACAAAGGGGGGACAAGGGGGGAGCGGGGGTGGGAAGGGTGGGAATGGGGAAGGAGGCGGCTTTGCGGCTGACAAGGGAGGGAGAGCGGGTGCGTGGAAGGGCGGGGGGTGCTGCCCCCAAGATGGCGGCAGGTGGATGCCCCCGGGGCAGGGCAGGGCGCGGGGTGGGCACGGGGGGGCTTGGGGGGGCCCGGCCGCCGTTCTGGGGCTCTGTGGGGTGTCCCCGCTGAGGAGGGAAGCCCGAGGGGGGGCTCCTGGAGGGTGGTGAGGGCCCTGGGAGGGGAGGGGTGGGGATGGGGAAGGCACCCCCTGTGCCCCGGGGGGGGGGGGGGGAAGGGTCTCCCTGTGCCTTGGGGGGCTTGGGAAGGGTCCCCCCGTGTCCTGGTTCCCGGAGGGGGGATGTGGGGAAGGGCCTCTCTGCACCCCATTCCCGGCATTTCGGTCTGGGCTCCCTTTGGCTCAGGGTCCCCCAGGACAGTTTTGTCCCCAAACAGGGGATCACCTGATCCCCTCCCTGGTGGCACCAGGGAACGCTCCCGAAGAGCGGGAGGCTCTTGGAGGCTTTTCTGGAGAGAGAAAAAATCAACCACTCTGGAGAAAAATCCAAGGAAAACAGTGGGTTTGCTCTCTGCAACTCCCTGACAGGAGAGGGGAGCTGGTTGGGATCGGGCTCTGCTCCCAGGGAACAAGGGACAGGATGAGAGGGAACGGCCTTAAGTTGTGCCAGGGGAGGGTCAGGCTGGACATCAGGAGGAATTTCTCCATGGAAAGGGTGCTCAGGCATTGGAAGGGGCTGCCCAGGGAGGTTTGGAGTCCCCATCCCTGGAGGTGTCCAAGGAAGGACTGGACGTGGCCCTCAGTGCTCTGGGCTGGGGGACAAGGTGGGGATGGGGCACAGGTTGAACTGGATGATCCTGGAGGTCTTTTCCAACCTCCATGACTCCGTGATCCTGTGGTTTTGGATCTGTGCCTTCATCAGAGAAACCCAAAGGACACCACCCTCCTCCTCCTCCTCATCCCACAGCAGCCTCTGTTTGAAGCTGAACTTGCAAATCCCACATTTTCCTGTGGGATCGCACACTTTGGAGCTGCCAGAGCCTGGAGGGACACTGTGGGAACAGCCTTGATGCCTCCCAACATTCCCTCCACTGGGACACAATCCCACAGGGAACATGAGGCATCTCCTGGCCCGAACCTGCTCCGTGGCAACGACATCCCAGAGACCCCCCAGCCCTTCCTCACTGGTCAGTGTTTGTGCCCCCGTGGGCAACATTAACCCATTAATCATGTATAAAAAACAACTTTTAATAACAATTATATATATTTTTAAAATACAATAATATACATATTGCAGCCTGCAGCTTCCTCAGGAGGGGCAGCTCCAATCTCTGCTCCCTGTGAGCTGGGACAGGACCCAGGGAACGGCTGGAGCTGTGCCAGGGGAAGTTTGGGATGGATCCCAGGGAAAAGTTCTTCCCCCAGAGGGTGGTTGGGCACTGCCCAGGCTCCCCAGGGCAGTGGGCACAGCCCCAAGGCTGCCAGAGCTCCAGGAGGGTTTGGATGATCCTCTGAGGGTGGGATTGTTGGGGTGTCCTGGGCAGGGCCAGGACTTGGACTGGATGATCCTTGGAGGTCCCTCTCAGCTCAGGAGGTTCTGTGATCTAAATGATTTTCCCCAATCCAATGGATTTTCCCAATTCCCCTGGGATGTGGTTGCTCTGTTTCTATGGAGCAGGTGCACACCTGGATCCTCTCCATCTCCACGTAGAGTTACCGGGGCATAATTCCAGGATTTAGGGTGAAACACTGGGAGAGGTTTTCCAGCCTTTTCTCCTCCTCCTCATCAACCCCGCACACTAATTAAATAAAAAGGCAATTAACAGTTTCCCAGGCAGACCAATATGTTAATCAGGCTCCCCAGTTTTCCCTTCCAGGCTGGCAAAAGCCAGGGTTGGTGCTAAAAATCCGAGGGATTGCTATGGAAACCCCAGTGGCTGATAACTCATCCTGTCACACCAGGAGAGCCGAGGCCAAATCCAGCCTGGGTGCAGCTCCACCACTGTCCTGCCCATCCCTGCCTGGGAAAGGCAGGCTGGGAATGTGCTGGGAATTTGGGAGCTGCCACTGAGGTGGTGTGGGGGCAGTGGCTTGGATTAAGACTGAGAGAATTGGGAATGTGCAGCCTGGAGAAGGTTCTGGAGACACCTCAGAGCCCCTTCCAGTGCCTAAAGGGGCTCCAGGAGAGCTGGAGAGGGACTTGGGACAAGGGATAGAGGGACAGGGCAAGGGGGAGTGGCTTCCCACTGCCAGAGGGCAGGGTTAGATGGGATTTTGGGAAGGAATTCTTCCTTGGGAAGGTGGTGAGGCCCTGGCACAGGTTGGGCAGAGAAGCTGTGGCTGCCCCTGGATCCCTGGAAGTGTCCAAGGCCAGGTTGGAGCAATCTGGGCTAGTGGAAGGTGTCCCTGCCCATGGCAGGGGGTTGGAATGAGATGATCCTTAATGTCCCTTCTAACCCAAACCATCCTGTGATTCCAGGATTTGTGTGAGCTTTAACGCTGCATCTCACAGAGGTGGAGCACCGGCCTCCTGTGGTGCCAAGGAGAAGGAAAAAAGCAGGAATATTAATATTTGTGGTGTGGAGCTGGAGAGTTGTGTCCCCCATGTCTGGAGCCCCTCTGGGGGTGTGTCACCCCCCCGTTATGGTGTCCTCAGCTCCCCTGAGGCTCCTCCATCGTGTCCAGCCTCAGCATCCCGACCCACTGGGAGCATCCCAGGGGGGTTTGGCCCTTCCATCCTCTGCTGGGATGGGATGAATCCCCCCTGAACGGCACATGGGCTCTTCCCAGGTCGTGCACAGCCATTCCACAGCTTCTGGACGGACTCACCCACCACCCAGCGGGACCCCAAGGTGCCAGTGGGACCCTCAGAGCCCTGGGGCCGGGCAGGAGCGGTGCCCCCGGGGCTGCGGGGTGAGCCCCCTTCCCCTGTGCTGCACCCCCGGGGGGCGCACGGGGACACCGCGGTGCCCGAGCCCGAGCCCTGTGGCTCCACAACGCCCCTCCTGCCCCGGGGGGGTCAGGCCGGTGCCCGAGGGGGGTCCCGCGGGGTGTCCCCATCCCGGTTCCCCCATCCCGGTGCTCCCGGTCCTCCCCGCCAGCAGGGGGCGCCAAAGCACCGAAGCCCCCGTTATCCCCGGCGCATGCGCAGTGCGGGGACCCTGCGGGGCCAGGGCGGGACCCGGTGCGGGTTCCCGGTACCGGGGCTGACACCGGGCTCAGCCCTATCGCCTCTTCCTGTGAGCCCCCCGGGGCTCGCCTGCCGCTCGGGTGTCACCGGCGGCGGGGCCCTCCGCGCGCCGACAGCGTTACGGGGACTTTCCCCCTCTGCGGCCCGGCAAGGCAGAGCGGTCATTACCGCTCGCTGTTTTCGGTACAGCGTCGCGGGTGTAGCCCCGGTGACAACCCGCGTGTTCCCGGCGCGGCGGATCAACCGCCCCCTCCCGCCCTTCACCCCTCACCCCACAAACCTCCCTCCCCGTCCCCTCACCCCACCAAACCATAGAGTCCGGCGGGCAGAGCGGCCCCGGCGCGCAGGCGCCGCTCGCCGGCACCGCCCTCCGCCCTATAAGAGGGGACCGGCTGACGTCAGCGCTCTCTTCCGCCCGCTCTGCGCTCGCCAGCGAGACAGGGCCGAGCCGCCGCCATTGCCGCACCCCCCCCGCCCCGCAGCATCCGCCGCCATCCGCCACCATGGTGAGCCCCCGCCGCCCGCCGCCGCCACCGGCGCTACCGGCGGCCTCCGCTTCGCCCGCACCGCTGGCGATGGCGCGCCCGCCGCTCCCGCGCGGCCCCGCGCCGCCCGATGCGGCCTGTGCTGCCCGGGCTGGGCCGCGGCGGCGCGGGGAGGGCGGGGCGGGGGGGGGGAGGTGGTGGTGGGGCAATGGGGACGCGGGGGGATCGTGTCACCCTCTCCCCGAGGGTGGTGGCGGGACTGAGGGGAGCGGGAGCGGCCGCGCTGATGTGGCGGCGCGGGGCCGGGGCGCTGCGGTGCGGGCGCTGCCTTATGTAACGCTGCGGGCCGGGCTGGCACCGCCACCGTCACCCTCCCCGGCTCGCTTTGACGGGAGTTTTGTCTCCCGGAGTCAGTTTAAAGGGGGTTTTACCCCTCCTGATTCGCTTTGGGATGAGCGGTTGCCCCTGTCGCGTTCGGTTTAGGGTGACAGGTTGCCCCATGGTTTGGGTTTTGAGGGGGTTTTGCTCTCCAGGTTCGGTTTTCAGGGGGTTTTACCCCCCCCCGGTTCAGTGTTGGGGTTGTTTTACCTCCAGGCTTCAGGTGACAAGTTGCCACCTGTGTTCGTTTTTGAGGGGCTTTCCCTCCCTTGGTTCTGTCTTGGGTGAATTTTGCCCCCCTGGGGTTGGTTTTAAAGGGTTTTTTCCCCCCGGGCTCCGTTTTGAGGGGGTTTTACCTGCCTGGGTTTTGTGTTAGGGGTGTTTTACCTCCAGGCTTCAGGTGACAAGTTGCCACCTGTGTTCGTGTTTGAGGGGCTTTTAACCCCCCGAGCTCTGTCTTGAATGAGTTTTGGCCCTCCAAGGTTTGGTTTTAAAGGGGTTTTGCCCCCCTTAGCTCGGTTTTGAAGGGTTTTTGCCCCCCAGGTTCAGTTTTGGTGGCCTGAGGCACAGAGGGGTCGGTGCTGCAGCCCCACTGCAGTGGGTCGCGCTGTCACCCGGGCAGAGTCGGTGTCACCGTGAGCACGGGAAGCGTTTGGGTGGAGATTTGAATTCTTAGGAACTGCAACAAACCCAAAATCTCTCTCCGCCCCTTCAAGGTG